GACCCACACGTTGCTGGAATAAAGGTAAGTTTTATAACATTTTAAGGGGGTCAGGAACACTATAGGGTCAGGAATATATGTTTGTGTTCCTGACCCTGTTGTGCTCCTTTAAAACAAAATAATATAGCAAACATTAGATGACCCAATCTGACTGATTAACTTTTATTTTAATGTGTTACATGTTTCGATAGTTAGGCAACCATTATATATTGAAGATTTTGTTTCATTTTGAATTTCTGTAAATACAAAAAACTATTCCATAGAAATGAATTTTTTTAAGTAGGTGTGAGATAATGGAGAATATCTTCATTGCATAAGCTGAACAGAGAACTTTCTGTTACTGTGGAAACATTGCACAGTAATACATTAATATGATTAAATACTTGATTACGTTGTTGCTGTAATTTCTCAGGGAAGTAATTTTATGAAGTAAATTTTGTTTTCATGAGAATAACACTTTTTTTTGGTAACGATACAAAGCCCCTTAGAAGAAGTCATAAAATAAAAATAAGCTATTATAGTTATGCCAATAACTTACTTTCTGTTGAAAATGACTCATGAAAGAACTACTGATCACTGGCACCTCTCCACAGCGGACACACGCTATCAACACATTCGGTGCCAGGTATTTTAACAACTGCTGCAAGTTTGTGATAAACACAGGTTTTACATTCACACATTAAATCCAGAGGAAGTTGCTTATTGCTTTAGTTTCTTTACTTCACAAAATGTGCATTATTCACAGAATTACTTTTACATTAATGGGACAATTGAAGGTGTGTAACCACCGAGGGGTATGAGTATGGTACATGGAGGTATGATGCGGGATATTCGGCAAGGAGCTCCTATTTTATTCTGACCATACATTCTGCTGCTTATACATTTGTGATTTTTAAAATAAACCTGACAACTGTTTAAATATATCACCATAACCATCATATTTTTTAAATGCATGTACTATGGCATAAGGCCATTTTACATTTCGTTACTAATAGAAAATGCAGGTACCACATGGTGAAACAATGCATCCTCTCACCTGTACAAGTACATGTATTGTGTATATTTAAAATACCACTATTTTGGTAGCTGATAGAAGCCGCACAATGATTTCAGGTATAACTACCTGTGCTTAGCTGAACTACAAGTTTCCTCCACAAAACCCTCAACACTGAGAATGATGATTCCTGCTCTAAGAAAAGGCTCACAGTAGAAGCTGCAGATCTTAAGAATTAGCACAAACATAGAGATTTAAACAAATTAGTATATTTTGCGTTTTAATGTATTTTATCGCAAATGTTAATGTATTAATTACATAAATAGGATCGACTCCAGCCTCAAATGTCCATTTTTACCACTTGTTCTGCCCCATTCCCAAAAACTAAAGTACCCCCAATCATACCCCAGTAAATCTCCTTATAATCCATTATTGCCATTTTTCAACTGTATGTCAGGATTACAAGTTGATCCAGCACGCAGAAATAGTATCACACCTAGGACTATGGATAACGTATAACTGGACCTTAGAATGGCCGGACTGAACGTAACCAAGAATAGTCAAAATATTTGCTGAGGTCTGGGATACAGAATGAGACACAATGATGAGGAAAGTCAAAAGTCAAAGATACCAGAAATCAGGGAAGTCAAACAAAGTCAAAGTCAAATACCAAAAAAAAGATCAGGAACACTCTCTCGGATAACCAGCTAAGGGAAACCATGACAGGGCACTGATCAAAAGGTAATTTGGGTTTAAATAACCCTCCTAGAGCTGTAATTGGCTATATGTGACCTCTGACCCCCAAAATATGCATGCACGTAAGCACCATCTTTAATATGGTCAAAGGGTATTTCTTTATTAAAAAATGGAACTGCAGCGGCCGGCGTCTCTGTTAACGCCACACACGGCGGAAACCGAGATGGAGGGAGTTCGGGTTTTGATCTGCCGTAGGTAAGGTGAGTGTTTGTTATTTCTGTCGGCGTGACTGCTGTTTTTCAGTGCGGTCTCGCTGAC